ATCCTTTGGCGAAGTGTCTGAGACGTTTGTCCAATGTACAAAGCAGACAGACACTTTCGGCACATGGTAGCATAAATTATATTTCTGGATGCGCAGGAATATGTGTTTTTGATCTTATAACTCACTTGGTTAGGTCCAATAATGGTATCAGCAGAGTGAATATGTGGACAAAGCTAGCAACGGGGTTTGTTGCAAGGGAAGGTTCCAGGGTTGGTATTAGTGTGGTATGTCCTGTGGTTGTTGGTAAGAATCATCTTGAGGTTAGGTGGTTGTCTATAGGAGACTATGGGTCTGTCTCCCAGAGCTTCTTGGAGTTTAGTGTCCTGTTCCAGTATAGGTTGTAATCTATTGATAATGTGTTGGACAGGTTTAAGTTGGGAGCTGTAGGTGATGAAGCGGATAGGATAAAGTGGATTTAAGCCATACATGCAAGCCTTTGTAGATTTGGGACCTAGTGCATTAGCATTATATAATCTTGCATGAAGTTTTAAAAAATTATAAATATGAATTGTAGCTTAGTTTTTCTTTTTTTTCGTAGGTATTCCATAAACCGCACATGGACACGAAAACAGGCTCTTATTTGTTCTCCCCTTCAGCTGAATCATCCGCAATTCCAAATGCACAAGTCCAATTTACCAAATGAAACTATACTGCAGACTGACACTGGCATAGGTAAGAATTACAAATGGAAATTGAAACTGATATATACTTCTGTCACACTATAAAAATGTACATTTTAGTGTTATTACAGTAAATTAATATTTTCCATTCAAAAAAACACTTTAAAATAAAAATACTTTTGATGAGATCCTGATTTGGAATTGCTTTAAAATACTTTCTTCCAAAGTACATGCAAGTACCTTCATATTCTCACTGGTTGGTGCTTTAAGAACAATAGTTAGTATTTATATAGCATGCCATATATCCAGAGCACTGTATAGGCATTTAATTAATCCTCACAAAATCTTTGTAAGTGATAGATGTAAGTTGAATTATCCCCATCTATTATACAGGCAGTCCCCGGGTTACGTACAAGATAGGGACTATAGGTTTGTTCTTAAGTTGAATTTGTATGTAAGTCGGAACTGGCTCCAGATTCAGCCGCTGCTGCTGAAACTGACCAGGGGCTGACTACAGGAAGCTGGAGGCAGAATTGCTCTGCCCCCAGCTTCCTGGAATCAGCCACTAATCAGTTTCAACAGCGGCTGAATCTCGAGCCTGGGACAGAACAGCTGGGCTGCCAGGTAGGTCCCTGTAGGACCAGCCCGGCAGCACCCCAGCTGCTCTACCCCAGGGTCCACAACAAAAGCTTGGTCTGCTGGGGGGCGGGGGAATTGCCAGAGCAAAGCCTCAGAGGCGCGGGACCCCTCTGCCTCCCCGGCGTTGCTCCAGGTGTCCCTGGTCTGCTGGAGACGGTCCCCAGCAGACCAGGGGCACCCGGAGCAGCTTTTCTCGCCACGGAGGTCAAGGTGGCAGGACCGCTGCGCTCTGTGCTGTCCCGCTGCCTGCGAGCTCCGGGGCGAGAGAGCCCCGTTCATAAGTGCAGATCCGACATAAGTCGGATCCGCGTAAGTCGGGGACTGCCTGTATACTTTGAAGAATTTATTTGTGTATTGTGCAAAATAAAGTCATACTTCGTGATTACCTACAGATAACAAATTTTGTATAAACAATTCTGCTCCTTAAATTAGTGAACTGCAGCACTTTTTACATTGGAATATGCTTGATGAAAGGTTTAAAGAATTATTTTTGTTTTTCATTGGAAAAAAGTAATGACTATTATGATTAGAATTAAGGATGTTAACTAGCGGTTAATTGACTAGTCGATAGACACTTCTGCATTCCCCCTTTTTTATTTCCTCCACAGTACATATTCAGAGAATAGGCCAGAATTTTGTCTTCTCGATAGATAGCATGTTCCAAATCTTTGTTCTCATCATTGTACCTTTCTTTCAAGGTGAAGAGATTGAATGCCTCCGTAAGAGTCACATAATAAACATGCAGAAATTCAAGAATTCAGAGCTGAGACTCACCGAAGCCAAGCAAAAGATGAGAGAACTTGCACTTAATATAAAAATGAAGGAGGAACTCGTTAAAGAATTAGTAAAAACAGGTAACTGGCTTGTGTAAAGCACATTTAAATTAAAAACAAATACCTTAGAATCTCAGAGTTACGAATACATCAGGAATGGAGTTATTTGTAACTGTGAAATGTTTATAACTCTGAACTAAATGTTATCCTCCCAAAGTATACAGCTGAAAACTGATGTAATACAGTTTTGAAATTGTACTATGCCAAAGAAAAATGCTGCTTTTAACAATTTTAATTTAAATGAAACAAGCCCCAAAACAGTTTCCTTACCTTGTCAAATTTTTTTTTTAAAGTTTCCCTCTTTTAGTGCCTTCTTTAACACAGGACTGTACTGTACAGTATTAGCTTTTTGTTTCTTTTTTTTCCACTCTGCTGCTTGATTCTGTACTACCAGTTCCAAAAGCGTTGAGTGACTGACCCATCAATTTGTAACTCTGGTGTTCGTAACTCTGATATTCAATTGTACATATTAAAGTAAGAATAAGCTATTTAATTATTCTAGTTGTCTATAACTAATCATGTTCAGTTGAGGGTACTATAATTAATTTTTTGTCACTTAAGAAAATTATTCTCTAATTGTATTATGGCAATACTTTGGGCCTCACATAAAATCATAGGATTGGAAAGGACCTTAAGAGGTCATCTAGTCCAACCCTCTGCACTCGTGACAAGACTAAGTATTACCTAGATACTTGCATAACATGCTCTTAAAATTTTCAATATTAGAGATTTCACAACCTCTCTAGGCAATTTATTCCAATGCTTAATCACCCTAAGGCTACGTCTTCCTTGGCATGATCTTGCTCAAGAACTCTTTTGTGGAAGAGTTCTTGTGCAAAAAGAGAGTGTCTACACTGGCATGTGCTTTTGCACAAGAGCATCCTTGCTAGTGTAGATGCTCTCTTGTGCAAGAAAGCTCTGATGGCCATTTTAACCGTAGGGCTTTTTTGCGCAAGAAATCATGTTGCCTGTCTACACTGGCCTCTTGCGCAAGAACAGTTGCGCAAGAGGGCTTCTTCCTGAGCGCGAGCATCATAGTTCTTGCGCAAGAAGCACTGATTTCATACATTAGAATGTCAGTGTACTTGCACAAGAACCCGCGGCCAGTGTAGACAGGCAACTGATTTTGCGCAAGATCGCAAAACAGTTATCATGTCCCTTCTCAGTCTTTTCTTTTCTAGACTAAACAAACCCAGTTCCTTCAAGCTTCCCCCATAGATCATCATGTTTTCTAGATTCTTAATCATCTTTGTTGCTCTTCTCTGAACTTTTTCCAAATTACCACATCTTTCCTGAAATATGATGTCCAGAACCGGACACAATACTCCAGTTGAGGCCTAATCAGTGTGGAATAGAACCAAAGAATTACTACTTATGTTTTGCTTACAACTCTCCTGCTAGTACATCCCAGAATGATGTTCACTTTGAGTATGTCTATACTAGAGTTTTGTTGGGAAAATGGCTTTTCACATCTGCTAATACTTCCCAGAATATTTTTTTTTTTCTGCAACAGTGTTACACTGTTGACACACATTTAGCTTGTGCTCCACTATGAGCCGGATACCTTGCTGAAGTACTCCTTCCTATGGGGAATATGTGGGTTGGGACTCCACTATATTCTCATTAAATACATTCATTAAATGTTTGCTTTCCTAATTATTATTTGTTGAGTAAGTATTTTGTACTTTTTTGTAAAATAAGGCTATGTTTTAGTCACATGGAGGTGTGAAGCTGGTGCTTGGGGCGGAGACAGTGTATGGAGCCACGCCTTGATAGTACAAGTATTTATAATTATCAACATCTGACATCTTATCTGTATATTGTATTCCTTCCCCCATCTTATGCCTGTTTGCTAGTTTATTCGATTGAGAATTTTTAGAGATGGACTACCTTTTTTTCTGATTGGAACATGTCTGTTACGCTGTGGCTATTACCAGAAATAAATGATATTTAATACTAAACTTTTTAGATGTTAAATTCTGGATTCAATGTTCATATGGAGTTTGGAAATAGCAGGTTGTTCTGATCAATAATGTAGTTTTTTTCATGCAATGTTTTAATATTTTGTGTTTTTAGGTAATGATGCTCAGTCTATAAGCAGGCAGTATTCTTTGAAAATAACTAAACTGGAACATGAAGGTGAACAGGCCAAAATGGAATTAGCTGAAACACAAAAGCAGCTTCAGGAGCTGGAGAACAAGGAGCTAAGAGACCTTGCTGAGAGAGCCAAGTTACAAAAAGAATTTAGGAAGAAAATGGATGCTGCTAAATTAAAAGTGCAGGTAGTTTTGATTCTTGTTAAGAATTATTAATTCCTTATAACAATTAGGACTTAATCATCTACTCTGTTACCCAAGTTTTATGCCACTATGACTCCATTGTAGTAAGTGGAATTGCAGTAGATAATCAAGCCTTTAATGTACCAATAGTAGGTACTTGCATGTATCTAACAATATTATATGAGAAGTATGTTTTCTTACTAGAAAGGTGGATAAAAAAGAGATTATTGAATAACATGGACGTGATCTTATATTATGGTGTTTGGAACTAGGTAAGAATTTAAGAATGATTTAAATTGATTTGCAAATCACCTGCTTTGTAGCACAAGTCTTCTATGAAAATAGCACATAAAATCCTATATCTGTGCAAATACCAGTGGGCTTGTTTTCTAGTATCTGTTCTAAGATGTGTTTTTGTTTCTTTAAGTTTCATGCTGTTAGACTGAAATATGCCATGTGAACTCAGGTCTTACAGAAGAAGCAGCAGGACACTAAGAAGCTGGCATCATTAGCCACCCAGAATGAGAAACAGGTTACAGAACTTGAACAGACTGTGACTCATATGAGGCATCAGGAGGCCCAGCTACAGAAAAGACTTCAGGAGGAGAGTGAACAAAAGAAAATTCTTGAGGCAGAGATTGCACGAGACCAACTGCAAATCAAAGTAAGAGGCTTTCCTTTCTGTACAGTGCATAGGCATATAGTATAATTTCACCCCATTACTATCTCATAGACCATGATGCATTACTGTGTGGCTTACCTAAATACAGGGAATGCCTTTCAAGATATGAAAAATGAAGATAATGCCTAGTAAATATTCTTCTTTGAGGCGTGTCCCTGTGGGTGCTCCACAGTAGGTGTTTTGGCGCCCCTGCACTTCTAATCGGAACTTTTTGGGAGAACTACTCCGGGCGCCAGCATACACACGCAGCACTGCTCACGCTGCAGCAAGCGTACTGATGCACACGTGCTGTCATCCATTGCCTCAGTTCCTTCCTGACCGCTTCTGGTTCAGTCAGAATAGAGCAGTGCTCTGTGATAGCTTAGCTAGAGTTCATAGATATTGTTAGTTGTTAGGTAGTTATTATAGTGTTAAGTAGTTTTAGAAAGTTAGTCACAGTTCTCCCCACCCCACCACCATTTATTAGCATAAAACATTTTTTTTACTACTAATTTACTGTAGTTATAGATTTTAGGTAGATATGCCAGGGTCACCAGACTTCAAGAGATGCCTGACCTACAGAATGTCTATTCTGATATCAGATAGACATGCCCAGTGCATCAGATGCCTGGATAAGGAACACTCATCAAATCCTGCCATCACTGCAAAAAGCTCTCTGCCAGATCGCTTAAGGCAAGAGAACTACAGCTCAAGCTCCTTTCAATGGATAAGACAGAAAGACTGGTGTCGGAGCCGCCTCCAACAACTTCACAGTCCTGTACATCTCCAACGGCAGTGTCAGACCAAGGCATGGCATTGAGACAGACACAAACCCTCTGAAAGGACGGCAAAAAGGAAGTATTCTTTGCCTCCAAGTGACAGGCCAACAAAGAAAACATTCCTGCAACACAAGCCCTCCGCACCTAGGGCTACAGCCTCTGGGGACGTGCAGGTATCGGGGAAGTCCATCAAGGACAAGTTCTGAGGGGAAGGCTCCTTTAAGAGTTAGGCAATAATTTTTGCCCAGGGGCCACTTAAAATTTTTTTGAAGTAGCCCCGGGCCACCCCAAAGGTGTGGGGCCTAAACAGGAAGGGGTGGGGCTACCCCACCCCCAGACCATTATTGGCCCCTTTTGCCCCCCTTCCCACTAGGCACCCATGCCCTGGAAGAGGCTTGGCACTCTCCCCCACTCCCAGGCCAATCAGGGCTTGAGGGTGGAGGAGCTCAGGAAGCTCCCTGCGAGTAGCACGTGGCCTGGGGTGATAGAGCATGCATAGTCTCTTCCGCTTCTCTCCCCCCCCCCCCCCCCCCGCCACCTTTCGAACAGCATGCGGCGCTTCAAAGCGCCACATGCTCCTGGCAGGGCAGGAGGAGGCTTCATGCACTCCCCCGCCCCCAGGTCCTAATTGGCCTGGGGGCGGGGGAGCAGCAGGGCCTCTGCAATCCAGATCCAAATGCTTGACAGGCCGGATCCGACCCGCAGAGGCCCTTTTGCCTGCCCCGCCCTACATTCTCCGTGATGAAACACAAGAAGACTGAAGGCCACAGTACCAACAAAACCGGTACCCATGACACCATCCCAATCTCTGGCAAAAGGGCAACTGGATTTGACTTTGGTTACTCCCACCAAGTCAGTACCGACTTTCCATACCAAGAGTCTATAGGCACCATTGATATCTAAGGTGTGCAGCGATCTAGTACCGCAGTACACCCAGCCTCTTGCACCTTTGGTGCCGGTGTTTTTGCTGCCAAGACCACTTACAATGCAACAGGACCTAGTGGTAACATCGGTACTGGGCATACTGCTCTTCGGTACCAACGCAACACCATCATCACTGGGGCCTAGAAGATTGGCTACTCCTGTGAGCTTGGTGTATCACTTCTCCAGCAACAGTGAGGTTGAGCAAGAGAAACCATTCTTTCTGCACCATTCCTCAGCTAAGATGATAATACAAGCTTAGCAGCCGATTGTCCAAAAGAGAAACCATTCTTTCTGCACCATTCCTCAGCTAAGCTGATAATACAAGCTTAGCAGCAGGTTGTCCAGTCACAAATGTGGCAAGTTTTTCCTTGGCTCACCCCATCCCGCAACCATGGCAGGAATGGGATCCATGGGCCACAGTCAAAGCACAAGTACCACCCACAGTGATGCCACATCCACAACAGGTGGCTCCTCAGCTCCCTCCACTGCCTGCTTCTGAACTGGCATAGGACAAAATCAATGACTTAGACAAGACCCAAGATAAAGAGACGATGTCCCCATCTCACATTTCTTCATCCTCCCTGGATGAGTCTATTATGCCACCTCCACCTACCATAGATGACTATTTTAGATCATTTCAGGACCTGTACAAGAGGATCACAGACTCGCTTGACATCTCTCTAGTCGAGGTCCCAGATGTACAACATAAATTGATGGACAAACTTCAGGCATCTTCCTGGATCAAGATAGCATTGCCAGTTAATGAAGCTATCCTTGACCCTGCTAGGATCCTGTGGCAAACTCTGGCTTCTGTTCCACCCACATCCGAGAGGGTGGATAGAAAGTATTACATACCAGCGAAAGGAGCCGAGTTTCTTTTTTCACACCCCGCCCCAAACTCCCTAGTCGTTGATTCTGCAAATAACAGGGAGAGACAAACATGATTTAGATCAATCAATCCCCTATGACAAAAATTGGGAAAGATTGGACCTCCTCGGTAGGAAGTCATATTCGTCTGCATCCCTTCTCATATGAATTGTGAATTATTCTGCCTTCTGGCAAAATACACTTACAACCATTTTGATAAAATTAGATTTTTTATTGATAAATTACAGGATGAAGATAAAGCAGCCTACAAATCTAGCATTGAAGAGGGTATCTTAATAGCAAAGATGGCCCTCCAGGCTTCTCTAGATATGGCAGATGCAGCCTCCAGGTCTCTCGCTACATCAGTGGTCATGAGCAGGGTTTCCTGGCTCTGTTTGTCAGGCTTCCTCAGAGAACTACAAAATACCACTGAAGACCTGCCCTTTGAGGGTCAGAAATTATTTGCAGCCAATACTGATGCCTCACTCCATTCTCTAAAAGAGTCAATGGCAACCCTCAAAACCCTCAGCATGCACATCCGTCAACAAAAGAAAAACATTAATCAAATGTATACGCCCCGGGGCAGAGCAGCATCTTATCCTCCCCAGAGGCCCTATGACCTGAGGCACCACCAGAGACAACAGAAACGAAGACAGCCACAGGATCAGCAAATGAAGTCGGGAGGATGGAGGCCCATATTGGACTTATGCAGGTTGAACAACTACTTAAAAAGGCAATGCTTCACAATGGTGACACTGGCAAAGATGATTCCTGCACTAGGAAGAGGAAACTGGATGTTGTCCCTTGACCTTCAGGATGCATATTTTCATATCTCAATAAGACCCTCTCACAAGAAATTTCTCAGATTTGCACTAAACAATCAACACTGCCAGTACTGAGTGCTACCGTTCGGCCTCTCAGCAACCACCCAGGGCTGCCTTCAAAATTCTGGCCATTGTAGTGGCAGCACACCTGAGAAAATCAGTCAGACATAGTAATCTACTTATACCTGGACAATTGCCTGATAGTAGCTCCAATGGAATGTCAGGCCAGGCAATCCACAGAAGCCACAATCAGACTCTTTACAGACCTGGGGCTGCAAATAAACATTAAGAAGTCCAAGTTCATACGGGCCACACATGATTGCATACAAGCACAAGCATGATTGCCTCTTCCAAGATTCCATGCCCTCACTGCATTTAGCAAAATCTCTCATACGCAGCCCCACAGTCTCAACCAGACAATGCCTGCAATTGCTAGGTCACGTGTCTGCAACAACTTACATAGTACGTCATGAAAGGGTACACATGAGAATGCTTCAGGCCTGGCTGCACATTTGCTTTTGCTCACACAGGCACTCACTGCACAAGATCCTCAGCCCTACGAACAGGGTCAGACAGTCCCTGTCATGGTGGCTTCAGTGCAACAACCTCTGCTCGGGGGTTCCTTTCCATCGGCCAATACTGTTGGTCCACATCACGACCAACACCTCATTGGAAGGTTGGGGAGCCCATGTGCAGAACCACACAATGCAGGGCAGATGGTCTCCTGAGGAGATGAACATGCACATCAACATGCTCAAGTTAAGAGCCGTAAAAGAGCGTGTGAACATTCTCCCTCTAATTCAGGGCCAGGCAGTCAGGGTATATACAGACAATACTGCATACATGTTCTACGTAAACCGGCAGGGTGCCAGATCACATCAGCTGTGCAATGAAGCGGTTGCCCCTATGGACATGGTGCGTACTCCACAAAATAAACATATCCACCTGTAGTGGGGCAGGAGCCCCTTCCTGAGCCTTGGTGGATCTGCATCTGGCCCCAGCATTCCACCTGGCCAGGAGAAAGGGCTAAGGATATAAAAGGCCTGCCTCAGAGGCCAGTCAGGCCCACGCAGACAGAAACCTCCCCTGCACACCCAAGTAAGGAGCTGTACCTGGGAGAAGCGAAGGAATGGCTGGGACTACCGGGCCCACAACTGGACGACGGTCTGGAGGAACTGCTCAGTGGGCCAGAGGTTCCAGAGCAATGAAGCCCAGAGGACTTGCACTGGGCCCAGGTACAACAGGAGAATGGAGAAAGCCTAGGGGTAGCCAACCACTGTTGGCTTGAGTCAGAATCAGGTCAGTGTGTTGTGGTCCAGATCCCTGCTGACCCAGCAGCAGACTGCTCTGCTGTTGCGAGGGCCCTGGGCTGGGATGCAGTGGAGTGGGCGGGCCTGAGTCCCCTGCCACTCCACTCCCAGGGAGCAGTGTCCCTGAGCAACTGCCTGCATCTGCTGGACCCCTGCCTGAGCAAGGGGATCCGACTGGATTTGTTCCAGAGAGGACTCAGAACTGTTTGTTTGCCTGCCGCCCCACCCTGAACCAGGGCCTGGGCATAGTACTGTTTGTCTGCTACCCCGCTCTGAACCAAGGCTTGGGCTTTGAACTGTTAGTTTGTTTGCCTGCAGCTCCACCCTCAACCAGGGCCTGGTGTTGGAACTGTCTGTTTATTTGCCTGCTGCCCCTTCCTGAACCAGGAATGGACCTTAGAACTGTTCATTTGTTAGCCTGCCATCCCACCTTTTGTTAGGACCAGGCTTTAGAACTGTTTCTTGGTTACTATTGCCTCACCCTAAACCAGGGCTGGGGTTTAGAGACTGTTTATTACAGACTGCTATCTGGGCTGTGGACTATCATAGGATTGGAAGCCACAACTGATTCCCCACAAGAACTGTGCAGTGGATTGTGGGGCAGAGTAGCCGACCACTGATCTAGAGGAGGAGGAGCCCCTCCCTGAGCCTCATTGGCTTACACCACCATATATCTCCCGGGCAAAGAAAATATCACAGCAGACCAGCTCAGCTGCTGTTTCCACCAGAAGCACGAGTGGGAGATACACCCTCAAGCCCTGAATTCCGTCTTCCGCAGGGCTTTGCGGAAATAAACTTATTGCAACATCACTTAATTCCAAGTGCCCCAAGTTCTGTTCCAGAGTGGGCTTGGGCAAGAACTCTATAGGCAATGTCATGATCAGCAACTGGCCTCACAAGCTATTAAATGCCTTTCTGCCTTTTCCCCTAAAAGGGAAAGTAATTCACAAGATAAGGCGTGACCAGGCAAAGGTGATCATGATAGCACCTGCCCAGACAGACATGGTATCCTACCCGTCTCTGATGTCAATTGCTCCTCTGATTCCACTTCCTCCATGGCTGGACATAGTGTACCAGGACCAGTGCTGGATTCTGCATCCTCAGGCTTGCAAGTTGCATCTGACTGCATGGCTCTTTCAGGGTTAACAGTGCACTGATTTACCTTCTTGGAAGTAGTAAAAAGCATAATCCTTACTTGCCATAAACAGAGTACAAGAAAAATTTACCTGTATAAATGGCGATGCTTTTCTGAGTGGACTACCCACAGAGCACTATGGCCACAGTCAACGCAGCTCACAACGATCCTAGAATATCTCCTCACAGTACAATCTCAAAGCTTGTGTAATGCATCCATTAAGGTTCACCTCACAGCCATATCAAGCGAGCATGACAAGATAGATGGACAAACTCTGTTCTCTCATTTGACCACTGAGAAATATATGAAGGGCCTTGACAATACTTTGCCTTCAGTAAAGCCAGTAGCTCCATCTTGGGATCTCAACTTAGTTTTGAACACACTAACTCATCCTCCAGGGCGATTTGCTTGTTAGTCCACCTGGCCAAGAAGGTAGCATTTTTAATAGCAATTATGACAGCCAGAAGGGTGAGCAAGTTAGCTGCCCTCATGGCCGACCCACCGTTTACAACATTCTCCAAAGACAAGATTGTACTCAGACCACATCTGAAATTTCATCCAAAGATAGTCTCATGGTTCCATCTCAATGAGCCTATATACTTATCAGTCTTCCATCAGAAGCCGAATCAGGGCACCAGTGCGGCAAAGCTCCATTCACTGGATGTCAGGCGGGCCATTGCATTTTACCTAGACAGAACAAGACAGTTTAGACAATCACACAAGCTGTTTGTATCAATAGCAGACCACTCTAAAGGACAAGCGGTATCCAAACAAATGATCGCCAAGAGGATCATGAACTGCATTCGCGAATGCTATGCCATCAGCAAAGTCGCATTACTTACATCTATACGGGCACATTCCACAAGAGTGATGGCCACATCGACAACCTTCTTGCATAATGTGCCCATCAGAGAGAGATGCAGGACAACATGGGGGCCTCCGTACATACTTTCACAAAGCATTATGCATTAGAAACTTACCATTCGATGTACTTCCTTTGGGACAGCAGTCCTTTTGGCTGTCCGCCAATGAGACTCAAAGCCCCTCCTTCCTAGAGGCTAAGGGTACTGCTCCACAGTCACCTACAGTGAAGTGCCCACAGAGACACTCATCAAAGAAGAAAAGAGAGGTTACTCACCTAGTGCAGTAACAGGTGTTCTTTGAGATGGGTGTCCCTGTGGGAGCTCCACAACCCACCCTCCTCCACTCTGCTTCGGAGACATGACATATCTCTCTGTGGTAGAGAAGGAACTGAGGCAACTGTTGACGGTATGTGTGTGCCAGCATGCTCACCACAGCACGAGCAGTGCCGGCATGTGCACACCGGCATCCAGGGGGCGTACTGCTGCCAAAAAATTCCGATTAGAAGCGCAGGTGTGCCAAAACACCGACAGTGGAGCGGCCACAGGAACAGCCATCTCAAAGAACACCAGTTACTGCATAAGGTGAGTAACCTCTATTTTTTTCACCTACAAGTTTACTTTCTTGGTGGAATTAAAGTCTTATCTTATAGTATACACCTATTTAGGCTCCTTCAGAAAAAAAAATAATTTGGTGAGAATAGACTCAATGAGACCAGAAAACAGTTTCCTTTTCCTTTTCCTTTTTTCAGGAACTTCAGTTAAAGACAGAGCAACAGCAGAAAATTCTCAAACTTAAAAATGAAGAGATTGCTGCTTTTAAAAAGAAGAAAAACTTGGCAGGAACTTCACAGCAGTTACAGGTAGCTAATTTATTTCAAATTTGGTGGCCTTTGATAATCAAGAGGAGCGAAACTCCTTTTTCCTCACCCCAGCTCTTGATTAGTTGTTTGGGGGAGAAGGAAAAATTTGGTTTGTTGACTGGCGGAATTATACTCAAAATCATTGTTAGGTGCCCTTCTTTCCTTTAAACAAGGATAAATTAGCCATCATGGATAAAGGGAAAGCTAATCCTCCACCAGGGAATAGGAATAACTTCTGCCTGCATGCCCTTACTCTTAGTGATGGTTTTAGTTTTATTGTGGTACAGTGGACTTTGTTTCTGATTGGCCCAGGGGTACAGAGTTTCTGCTGTACTTTCTTATTGTCTCTGGGGTTGCAGCTGATTGTTGCTCAGAGCAGTGGAAGTCTTTTGCCAGCAGCTGGGCGGGATATGTAACCCTTTCCTCTGGGTGTCTAGGTGAGGCTAGCTGGTGGGTTGGAAGATGATGAATTCTCTCCCGCCTCCTCCTCCCATGTGGATAGTTTAAAGATTCCATTCATAGAGCTTCTATCACTTATGTCAACTTTAGCATAGCAACTTCTGTGACAGTGCTGCCTAGATTATTCCAACTTTGAACATAGGACCAAGTGTGCATGGGCAACCAAGTGCAGCGAGCGATAGGATGGGGCTGTAGAAAGCTTTTAAGATGGAGAACAAATTAGAGGCATCATTGTCTGTGCCCAGCTCTTCACATGAGGTAAGTACTGGTTCAGGGCTGGTTTCCAATAGTCTTGATCAAGTGGAATGTAGCACTCTGCACCTGAGCTATGGAAGTGTGTTCTTGAAAAAATAACAAGTATTTCAGCAAGGACATTCTTAGACAAATATATTCCTAGGAAACTTTGCAATGTAACACTGCTATGGTTTTCCAAATTTCTTCAAACAAATAATTTAATTATCTTGAATTCCAAATCAAGATTCTATTATAGAGTTATTGTTAGCACCAAGAATGTTAATTTTGGATTAAATTATAGAAATCTGAAACTGACAGAATTATTCTAGATGAAAAATATACTGTACTAATAGAGTGCTGCACAAAGGAGGTGCTTATGTATGTCTTTATTTTATAAAATGTAGAAACAGGAAGAGCAAAGGAAATGGTTAGATGAAGAACTAGAGAAGGTTCTGCATCAACGTCGAGAGTTAGCAGAACTGGAAGAAGACTTAAAGAAAAGAGAAGCTATTATAAACAAGAAAGAAGCATTGTTACAAGAGAAGAGCCATCTGGAAATCAAGAAACTAAGATCTAGCCAGGTGCTCTTTATAATACTATGTAACTGTTATTAAAAAACAGCTGTTATATAGTCCAGAAAAAAGCATATTAGAAGCAGAATTAGCAGCATGGGTCTCATGTAATCTGATTTCTCTCCTTGATATTGCCACAGAGTAATCTCAAGCAAGCCAATCCTCAGTTTCTCTGACTTTTTAAATTGGGGATAATGTAGAATCATGGGCGGTAGGTGAAGATAGGGATGCAAGCCCCCAGCCTTGCCCCTTCTGCCAAAGTCCCACCCCCACAGGAGCCAAACCATCTCCCCAAAGCCCTCCTCCCCCATCCACAGGGAGGGTGGGCAGCAGGCGGCCTCAGTCTCCCTGGCCCCAGAGCAAGGGAAATGGTGGGTGCTCGGGTGCAGCCAACACTCCGCTCTCAGTATGCCTACAGTAGGCGTTCTGGGGGCAGACTGTTGGCAGAGCCAGGCTAGCAGTTTGGGAAGTCAATGCCTTCCCCCAGCTAGCATACCCACCACCCATATGTAGAATAATGATATTTCTTTGCCTTTTGTAAACACTTTTGTATTTGGGAGATAAAGCCTTTATGTAAGTGCAAAGTATTATACTTCATTAAATTTGGTGGTACATATGCAATTTGAGAACAAAATATCTTTTTTGGCTGTTTAGTTTGAAAAGCAAAAACACATTGAGAACAAAATATCTTTTTTGGCTGTTGTTTAGTTTGAAAAGCAAAAACACACAGAAATTTAAACACATTCTTAATAGCAGGTGTCTTTCTAATTGATGATGATTAAATTATTATTTAACTTTATGTAGAAAGTTGAAGTTGAGTGTTTCTTCGCTTTTATAATTAGTAGTAAATAGTTACATTATGATAGTGCCCAGATAGCATTGGAGCCTCATTGTACTGCATGCTTTATCCATGTGGAAAAGAGTCAATTTTTACTGGTAGCATTTGTATCATTTAAAAATTTGAGGGTTTTTTTTTAGGCTTTAAACAAAGATAGCTTGAAATTATCTACCCGCCTGAGTATGCTGGACAAGGAATTGTGTGATAAAAGTGTGCAGCTCCAGACAAGTGCCAGTGAAGAGAAAAGACAGATTTCAGAAGAAATTCAGGTTCTTCAGAAAGAAAGGGACCAGTTGCTCAGAAGAAGAAATAGTGTGGATGAGAAACTTAAAGATGGTAGAGTGTTGTCCCCTGAAGTAAGTAAATACATCCATTAGCTACTATTAGTTTCTGTTTTAATATAACACTCTAATCATGATCTAAATGTATTTTGAAATATCAGATAAACAAAAATTGATTAATTTTAACTGTCTTTGTGGAAATATTAAAATTATAATTTGGAATGTCAAAGGATTTAAAGTAAGTACAACAGTAGTAGTTTGGTTTGCTAGATAAGAAAGTTTAGGTTTGGAGATCTGTTCCAGCTGTTGTCCTGACAACCTTCTCTTGTTTTTTTTAATCTGTGGCATACTGATTTTCTTCCTTGAACCCCCTCTACTGCTTCTCTTTTCTAGATGATCATCACCATTCTGTCTTTAACTGAAATAGGACTTTCAATTCTGTGTGACTTAAATCTTTAGATATATCAATGTAACTTTCTTGTGTAGACTAGGCCTTAGAGAGCTGATTAATAGCAGCTATTGAAACAGACATTAGTGCTGTTATGGATTAGCCATCAGGAGACAAGACTTGTGCAACAAGTTCTTTCCTCTCAAGGGAATTAAAAATGCATAACTTTCATAACATAATGGTTTGACATCTATGATGGAAAGCAAGAGACACAACTGCCTACAAACCTATGTCTCTCATTGCAGGACACAGCCTAGTTAAGACTTCCACGTTCGCTAGGCAGAGTCCCTGTTTTTTTCTCCCCACCCACCCCCCAAAAAAACAAAACTAATAACAATCATTGTTCTGTCTTTTTGTGTTTCATTTTCCTGCTAAAAAAGTTACACGTTTGCAGATAGTCACTCTCTTTCAGGATTCTAATACAGTAGCTACTAAGTTCCTTTCTACTTAAAACAAGGAATTAACTGTACAAAACGGTAACTCGCATGATTTTCTAATAAGATTATGTATATAATCAGAGTTATGCATATTTATGACTACAATTATAAATGTAAATGTACTTTCAATTAAGAAGATGAAGATCTTTTAAAGTTATTTTCTTATAAGTTAATTTCTTGGAATATCCACATGTACTAATTTTCCAAATAAGCATATAATTACAAATTCTTACTGTTTTGAAAAACTTCAGTGGATCAGTTTTCCCCGGCTAGCTCTTATTTGTTAGGATATTGCTGGAGATAATTTACCCATTAATGAGGTCAATTCTCTTGACTTTTCACTCAGTTTAGGGAGAAGGAAACTTCACCTGAAATTTCCCCAAATTTCCATTGTGACAATAATGTGTATTGCTAGTACTCCAACACTTCATTTCCAGATTCCAAAAGAGTGTGAGGTAGAAATCCTGCCAGTCAGCTTAAATTAGGGTGAATTAAGTCCCGCTTACAGTGTGTAAACTCTTTAGTGAGAACCTCGACTCAGTAATATATTTAACTCATAGCAAAAAAAAAGAAATAGTCAGACTTTTATTTTTAAATGTTTTTCTCAGTTTATAGTATGGTACTGCGTTTTCTGTCAGTACAATGAGAGTCTGTATAATATAATAAATGAGCATATTAACATTGGATATACTGACTTGCATAATTTTTAATTGAAATGAGGAATGGCAACTAATTTCTGCTTTTATTTGTAGGAAGAACATGTACTTTTCCAACTGGAAGAAGGGATTGAAACTTTGGAGGCTGCCATTGACTATAAGAATGTAAATATTCAGAATCGCCAGCACTCACTTAGAGGATCATCTCAAATCCTTACACAGAGCGAGGCCAATATAATGGGAAAACTAGTTTCTCTATCTGCTATTGAGCTTAGAGCTATTCTCTTCAAATACTTCAATAAGGTGTGTTGGCTGATGAATAATATTAAGCACATTTTTGTATTATTCACTGGTATTACAGATAATAAAACAAAGCAGCTCAAATTCTTCAGACTATCCCTCTCGCCCCCCAAAAAAGAAGACTTAATTTAAAAAATTGTGTTTTAAGTGACAGTTGCTGAAGTTAGGTTCTGTCTTGCCTTTACTGAGCCAGACACTGTGCAGTCTTTCTCATCTCTGTAAATAGTATTGAACTTATATGTCAGGTTTGCCAGAATCCTTTCAGATGTTGCCAACCTACAATGTTTACTTTCAGATGTGAAGGTAAGGTTTCCCTCACTCCATCACTCTTGGCCTGATCCTTCTAGCAGAAAGAAGCTAGATATTATAGATGTTGCAATGCCTAACTTCTTTTAGGTATCCTGGCATTCACAATTCTAATTTAGGCACACAGCCTCCGTATGCTAAGGATGGGCAAACTTAGGTGCCTAGAAAATGTAAGGTGTGCATACATTTTGGGAACAGCCTAACCTAGCCTATGCTGAAGAGAGAGATGTGGCCTAAATCCAGCTCCTCAAAGAGATCGTAGCTGCCTATCTCTACTTGGGGTTCATGTTTGTGAATCATGGTTGTGGGCCTGTCTGGATTATACACTTTTCTCAAGAAAAATTAGAAGCAAGAGGTAAGCATATCCATTTCCTTGAGGTCTATCACATCCTTTTCATGTGTATTTCAGGGGTATAACACAATCAGACATTGCTTAGACTCTTAGCACATTAAAGTGAGAAATAAGTTGAATTTCACACACTAAACCAATTTTAAGGTACCAGCAGACGTCTTTCAAAATTGTTCATGCTTGTGAATTTTTTCACGAAAATGATGGTGCGTCTTCTTCTAGTTGGACCCCACCAAACTGCTTATTTGTCAGCAGGGACCCTAATGGGAAGAGAAAGCCTCTCTATTTATGATATTGGGTACCATATTTAGGTACCTAAATTATTTAGTAGGTGCCTAATATGGTTATTTGGGCCCATAAAGATTTAGTCGTTCAACTTGATGCGTTGATGTTTATAAACTGAGAAGAATTATAATATTAAAGCCTCTATTGTATTATTATTACATTATTTTAAAAAAATCTAACTGGTTTCAAGATTAAGCTTGGTAAGTTTATGGAATGGATGGTATGCTACAGTTGGTTGTCTACCATAGATTGTAGGAAACAGCCAGATATGGGCCACTAGAGGGGGAGGGGCTGACCTGGGCACTTGCTGCCTGTCCCGCGCAGGCTCCCGGCGACACACGAGCGAGGAGGAGGCTTCTCCTCCTCCTCACACTCAACCAATTGAGGGCTCCTGGCAGCAATCACGGCCCCGCCTCCCAGCTGGGACTCCCAGCTGCTCCCCTGCCCCCCACCAGGCTTCCGTCCGGTGTGCAGCTGGAAAAATTAGAAAATACCAGACATTGCACATGTCTGGTATTTTCTGATTTTTTTTACCGGACAGAGAGCGCAAATACCGACTGTCTGGTACAATACCGGAAACCTGGCAACCCTAGTGGCTAGAGCAATCACCAGAGATGTGAAAGACCCAAGTTCAGTTTACCCTTCAGTCTAATGTGGAGTAGGGTTTTGAGTTTGTCTCCTACCTCCCAGGAGAGTTCCTTAACTACTGAACTATAGGTTATTCTGGGATGGGGTGCTCTTGTTCTCCTACTGAAGTAGCTCTATAGTGCATACATATGTAAGTATTCACTAGGCCAAGGAAAGAATAAGAATGACTCTTTAAATGACTTTTTTTCCATTATTTTGTCTGGGATTGATGTCCGACTGACTTGACTCATAGTTACCCTGGTCATCCCATCTGCCATTTTGAATATGGGAGTAACATTAGCATTCTTCCAGTCTTTTAGAATAATCTGGTATTGTGAGATTTATTAAAAATTAATCTCAGTCAACTCCATTAGGGTTCTGAGTAGCAAATTAAAATCTGAGTTACTGATTTTAAAATATTTATTACTAGTAGATGTTGTTCAACATCCTTCAGTTACTAATGGAGTTGAGAATACTTAATTATACTTATATGAGATATACATCCTTCATCTTACAAATACAGAACAGAAATATTTACCAAACACTTGTGCCTTTTCTATATCATTATTAACAATTTTACTATCTCCATTTAGTAATAGGCCTATATAATTGCTACAATTTCTTTATTTTAATATGCTTAAAACCCTTTTTATTGTCTTTGGTCCTCTTAGCCATAGAGTCTTCCCTGATGTCTTTAACCTCCCATGTCAATTTTCTGCACTTTATAATTCCTAACCTTGTATAGATTGCTATGCTATTTCCTACTTTTCTGTTTATTATATACAGGCTTTTATTTCTAATTGTTTCCTTTACATTTGCCAGTGAATCAGGATGTTCTTTTAGCCAAAATTGTCCTCTTTTTTGATTGTGGAATCATGGCTTTGTGGTAACCTAAAAAAGTCTTCTTAGAAAATTCCTTAACTTTTTTTTTTCTAAATTTTTCCTCCTAATGAATGTAATTCATAATTTTCCTCAGCTTTGGAAAATCATTGCTTTTTTGAAGCTGTGTGTACATATGGAATGTAATCAGGTCGTGTTTGCTGGTCCCTAGGCAGTCACCAAATTGCTGTCCAGTAATTAATTCATTTGTATCTGTCGTGACATGCAAAACAGTTACTTCATGTTGGCAGCAATTCCTTTTATGTTAAAAATTTCTAATCTATAATATTTAGAAATTCCATGAGGATTTATTACTGCCTGCATGATACTCCAACATACATCTTCTAAATTGAAGGTTCCCATAAGAACACAATTTTTCTTTCCATACATTTGCATGCCAGTAACAGACTACAAATTCTGTGGCACTTCTCTTTTTAATTTACATTTTTAAAATTAATTAAATATGAAAATGTATACAATTATTACATTCAGCACTTGTTTATTACATTCAATTTATTTTATGCTGGCTCTGTTTTCAATGTACAGTATACTACAGGTTATTTTATTGACAACATATAACTGCTTTGTATCACAAGTTTTCATGAAACAAGCTAGAGATTTTGGCATCTAAGTGGGTGACACCTGGGGCTCTTGCTATCTGAGGTATAGCAGTTTGGGATTATGAGATAAGTACTTTAGCTAGATATTTTTATCAAAAGTAGTAGCGGTGAAATGCCTAGCCAAGGTGATATTTAAATTGTTTAAATTTCAGAGTAAGCAATCAATTAAATGGCTAGATAGATTACACCTCAGAATGGTTGTTACAAGCATTTACAAAATAAGGAAGAGAACACAACATTCATGTACACTTGGTTCATACTGTTAAAGTTCCTCATACTGGACAGAGACATATTTTTTTTGAAAGTGCATGTCTTTCTGCAGCAATTTTCATGGTTATGGAATCCACCAGGAACAGGGAGGAACTTTCTCTATAGTAAGCTTTTTGTACCTTTTACTAGGGATGTGCAGTCTAAACCATTATTTTTTCCAGTCAATATGTGTGGCTAATAAAGGCATATTTTCCATGCACAGTCATAATGTAAACTCTGGTATGCAAGGAAAACAGTTTATTAAATTTTTACATGAGGCACAGGAAATTGAATGATGTATCAGAAATAGCATTAAGCTACTAGTTTCCAAACAGTACAATAAAATGGGTTATAAAAAAAAGTACATTCCTTCAGTATTGTCTCCTTTTTATTCAAAAAGGGCATTCACTGAGATTGTTTCCATTACGGTTCTCATTACTTGGAATTATTTGTTAGTCAAAATAAAAATATTTTTATTAGGTTGTTAGCCTACGTGAGGCAGAACGTAAATTACAGCTGCAAACTGCAGAGCTGGAAATGAGAGTCGTGGAACAGAAAAACATAGAACGTGAACTGGAATCAGCACTCGAACACCTCACACTGCAATGTGACAGGCGATTGACCCTGCAGCAGAAAGATCATGAACAAAAGATACAGTTGATATTGCATCATTTCAAAGGTATTTGCTTCTTGGGATCTCTTTTGGCAAACACTATGTATTTCAGTTGAAACTTCACAAATGTGTAGTCACAACTTAGTTACATTATTAGTAAGCCCTGGACTACACTGCAAAGTTATGTTGGTACATCACTCAGGGGGCATGGATTTTCTACACTCCACAGACCACAATGTAGTTATACTGCTCTAACTCCTAGTGGAGATAGCGCCATGTCAATGGGAGGGCTTGTCCACTCAATGGAGCTACCACCTCTCTGGGAGATGGAGATGCCTTTGGGAGAAGCTCTCCTGTTGGCATAAGTAATGTCTTCACAAAGTGCTACAGCAGCACAGGTGTACCTGTGCCATTTCATTACTATAAGTGTAGCTAAGTCCTAATTTTATTGCATGAGAGAATATTGGGGCACAGTCTCTATAAGTTCTGGTATGAAAGGAAAACAGTTTTTACACGAGGCACAGGAATTTGAATGACTTTTTTTTAAAAATGTGGAATTTGTTGATATAAATTTGAATTAAAAGTTCATATTTTGCATGTGTCAGTGAGCCAAAAGTAGGTGCTGATTTTTGGATACACGGACTTATAGAGCCACCCTTTTTTTTTTTTCTTATCAGACATGCTACATATCAGCAATTCTTGGTATCAGTTACATTTGTGAGTAGTCAAGTTCCAGTGTCTCCTGTTGTACTCCCAGAATCAGTGGTCACTTGTGTGGAATTACTTTGAGTATGTAAAGTGAATGGGTCATGGGTGAAATAACATGGGCTTCGAGCCCAATCTTTTAAAATGCAAAGGGTCTCCTGGATGGTGCTGATTACTTTCAGCTCCCAGGAGACATTTGGATTCTCCCATTTTCTGCTCTTGTGCAGGGGAAATCCTGTTAAGAAGAAAATTATAACTGTTAAAATGATGATTCTGAAATTTTTGGAGAAAACCACTAGTGGGCTGTAGGATATAGTCTGTGTAATTTTGTATTTTGCATTATTTTTTGCATATGTAAAAATGAAATAAACATTCTGAAGCTAAAAGTAATGTTATCTTAGAACAAGGTGGTGAAAGTACTGCAGAAACCCTTAAACTGTATGAAGCTAAAATCCAGCAATTGGAAAAAGACTTGTTCTTCTATAAGAAAACCAGCAGAGAATTAAAGAAGAAACTGAAGGAGCTGGTGGGAGAGTCATTTCATCAGCTTGTGGCACCAACTAAATGTACGTGTAATCACAGTAGAAACTATATATAACTTTTAATAGTAACATTTCAGAAATGCTTCAGAGGGGTAGCTGAGTTAGTCTGTAACAGGAAAAACTTTAAAAACAACAAATAGTCTGGTAGCACTTTAAAGACTAACAAAACACGTACATGGTATCATGAGCTTTCTTGGGCACAGCCCACTTCTACAGCACTCTAGAACACTCTGGTCATCTGGCATTGGACTATTATCTTGCTTTTCTGGATTCTAACATGATTTTAGTATTCATTGTCTCAGAGTAAAAATTAAAAGACTTTTACTATCTGAAAGCTTTCAGATGATACTGTAGTTGACCCCACTGCAGGATGTCACTGTAAATCTTAAGGTACACAGTCCCCTTTTTGGATATGTGATAGCAGGTGATGCATACCGACTCTGAGGCAAGCACTGCAGCTGCTTCCAAGTATTATGCTACGCAGATGAGGGATGCATTGGACTGATTACTTTCAGCTCCCAGGAGACATTTGGATTCTCCCATTTTCTGCTCTTGTGCAGGGGAAATCCTGTTAAGAAGAAAATTATAACTGTTAAAATGATGATTCTGAAATTTTTGGAGAAAACCACTAGTGAGCTGTAGGATATAGTCTGTGTAATTTTGTATTTTGCATTATTTTTTGCATATGTAGGGATGTGTTTATTTTTGTGAACATGTAACTGCTGAAATTAGTTTCTAACTTGGCTTTAGGGTACAGCCTAGTCAAGCGGTTACCAAAGGCAACTGTGCTGTGGGGGAGCTTCTCAGGTCCCCTAGTACTCACGGTGCCTTTTCTAATCTGTCCTACTGTTAGAAGGTAATTAAGTATTGGCATGTTATATCTGACTGGCCCATGACCAGTTGTGTAGCATGCTTAGTTGGGGATCCTCTTCATGTTCTCTTTTTTGTAATCCTGTTTAAGTTGTTGCCTCGTGGCTTCTGGTTACAGGTTACTCCCCCTGACCTTCCCTCCAGAGAACCAGATCTCTGATTCTAGCCTCCTGCTCACTGGCCCTCTATTTCTCCCTGAGCCCGATCCATTCTGCTTCCAAAATGTCATCTTTTGCAGGCCATTCTGGATGTAACACAGTACCCTCTTTTGATTGTATGCTGTTCTGGGTCCTACTCTCCATACTCTTCCCCAAGTACCTTATAGCAGATCCTTTCCCTCCAGCTCGTTCAAGGTGCTGTAATGAGCCAGCAAACTCATTACACTATAAAACATTAACTACAAACTGAGGTACTACAGATCTGGTTCTAATTGAATGTGGGAAAGACTACAATAGAGGATTTTAGTTGTCAGATCAACATATTTTTCAGAACAAGTTAATTTCTCCAAAATTAGTCATGGCCATGTAATCGGAGAAAAATGCATGGTCCCTAGAACAATCTGATTTTTCTAAATACATTTTATAGGAATGATATAAAATCTTATAGTGGTTTAGTTTTATTATAATAAATATCTCACATTGCCTTTCGTTTATTCTTGGATTTGTTGTTGTT